GGGTTAGAGTCCGATCCAGGATGGGATGGCAATTGTTGGTCCCCGTCGTCCATAGGTTCTATATCATCTAGACTAGTCCATTCAATTGGGCAATCATCGGCACTTTTGGCAGAAGCCAGCACTGAAAAATCGGGTTTCTGTATAGACTCTTTGGTGGGAAGTAAGATTGGGGGTTCAGTACTAGATAATGTGGGATTTTCGGGATTATTAAGGTCATCATCATCATCATCACGATGGAGTGCGCTTAATTGTGCCGAAACTGCGTCAGAAGTTACGTTTTCAAGAACCTTGATTTTCTCGTTGGCAAGTTCCGATGGTGATGGCTGGTCAAATATCGCTTCGATACGTGGACCGCGGTGACCTGCAGGGTTGCCCATCCCAACATGCGTAGGAAACGAGTCAAAAACTGTATCGCTCTGGAAATCAGTCTCATCTTCTTCCCCAGAGCTGAATATTCGTGTGTCATTGTCCGAGCCAACCAAGGTAGAAGCTGGATCAGATGTAGCCGCAGAAAGTCTTTGGCTTTTGGGACGACTGGAGAAGAAAGAAAATGTGTTTCCAGAAGGATTAGATGACTGTTCCCCAGACGATGACCTGGATCTGGAGTCTAAAGTTAGGTCACAGCAGATCGGTTCAGGGGAGAGTTCAGCACGAAGTTCTGAAAACTGAGGGCGTCGGCGGAGGCGAGATTTGGGGGAGTTGTTTTCTGAGCTTATCGTGTCAAGTTGGTGAGGAGTAAACTCTGTTTGTGAAGAAGATGATCGACGCCTGAACGGATCTGTGTTCGTGACTGGTTTTCTTTTCCGAAGCTTCGATGAGTTTACATTAAGCCCATCAAGTTTGACGGCTAGCTCGTCTAAGGGAGAACTAGCTTCTATGGTGGGTTCCTTGGAAAACGAAAACCCACGATGCCGACCCAGACTTTTCGTGGTTGAGAGTTTCCACGAACCTGGTGAAGTTCCGGTCTTTATTTCACTAACAGACAAGGACTGTCGCGGCTTCCGCTCACTTATTGGTATAGGCTGAGTAAAGGGATCAACAAGGGTGGTGTCATCGAAATTAATAGAAGCTCTAGTCTGTGGACGTTGAACTTTAGACATCCACGGTATATTATCCTCAGATCTATAAGTATGATTGGGGGTATCACGCGGTATGCAAGTTGCAAGAAGTAATGTAGGTGCGACACCAGGCTCGGGTACGAGTCGACGAGGGGAGCGAGCTCTATCTCTATGTCTCGCGGATGAACGTCGTCTAATCTCCGGGAAAGAAGGATATTCTGACCGGAAGTATGGTCTCCAGGTTCCATCTGCTCGGTCGAATGTTTCTGCGGGTGTTTGATTGGGAGAATGAAGAGGAGAATAGGGAGGCCCCAATTGCACGCGACTGTCAGTTGACGACCGTTGCCTCATATTTGCGAGTCTCTGGTGACTAGTTGCTGGCCGTCGTAGCAGTGGAGCGGGCGCTGCGACAGATCCCGATTGCGTCGCCTGTGATTGGGAATTTTTTAGGCCCCGCTGCGACCTCGGTCGTTTTACCAATTTATTGGGGGGTGGATGATCCGCACGGAAAGGAGAAGAGAAGAAGGGACTGGTGGACCCATTGAGAGATGGTGAGCCTGGCTGCGAACCTGACAGCTGACTGTCGTTTTGAGAAGAGGATATTATTGAGAGACGCTGTAACCAAGATGAAGATGGTCTTCCGGTAGGCGAAGATATTAGAGGATCATCTGTAGAGTGATCACCATGTCCAAGAGACAAAGGTGGGGGAGCCACATAAGTTCGACGACGAGGACGAGTCTTTGGAGCTTCTAGTGGTTTCTCATTCGCGGGATGCGCTGTATCTAGTCTGCCCGCTGAGAAATCATCGACTTGCTTGGAAAGCAGAACATGGGAAGTGGCTGGCCTTCGGGTGCTGGGAGATGTACGAGTAGGCACTGTGTCGATCGGGGACGACGACACATCCAGTACACGGGCTAACGGGGAGGAATAGCTGTGTCGAAATATAGAACGTCGTCGCTTGGAAGGGGGCCGCGGTTGGGGTTGTGGTTGGCTCGCCTCGTTCCTGCCCAGGGCGAATCCCGTGGCGGCGATTCCAACTGTGCCAATTGCACAGAGCTATAGGGCGCGGCAACCGTTATCAGAAAGAAGTTTTAATATACGCGTGTATATGTATATATTTGGTGCATATTGATGCTACATATTGCGTGTAATTGGGGTGTATGCAGCACGTTGTCCAGCAGTCGGTGGGGAAGAGATACATTGAAAGATCAAGGGACAAACAACCAAAGAGGGGGGGGAGAGGGGAGAGGGAGAAGGAGAGGGAGCGGGGGGGTCGGTCAAGGTTCCACCACTCAGCAGCACCACCCAAAAACAACAACGCGGTCAACCACAAACAACAGCAATGGATGATATATAGTAGGGCAGGCAGTCAAGGGTCAAAAATAGCAAACGCGCGCGATTAGGGAGGGACACACCAAGGGGGGAAAACAGTAACTCACCGTTGACACATGTTCCATTTCTTCCCCTGATTACACGGGTGGGCGCACGCGGTCAAGCACGGAGAAGACGCCCAGCTGGCAGCCTCGTCGTCGTCGTCGGTCTGGGAGAACACAGATCCATCACATAATATCACATTGAGCGGGGGTAATGTAGCTGGAGGAGACGCGGTAGGAGCAAGCGGCAAGTAAAATATAGAGAGAGTGGAGTGATTTGGTGATTGGCTACCCGGAAGTTTGTTGGGGCCGGGCGGGCGAGCGGTGATAGTTGATAGCGACAGATACGGAGAGCTAAATGAGGTCAATGGGCAAGAGAACGGCAAAAAGGCAGCGAGGCACGAAAGGTGGTAGAGGAGAGAGTAGAGAGGAGAGGAGAGGAGAGGAGAGGAAGATCCAGAAAAATAACAACGGTGGAAAGGGAGTGGCGACGAGCCGGAGGAAGAGAGTGGAGAGAGTTTGGTGGACAGAGCAGAGGCAGATGGGGGGGAGGGAGGGAGAAGGGAGACGGACGACAGCAAGCTGAGGCTGGATATCAACAGCTCCCGCTAAACTCGTCCTGGGCTAGGGGCGTGGGAACTGCTCCTTGATGCAAAAACATAAACACATAAATTAATAATAATAAACAACACGCCAGATTAATCCCGCTACAGACATACGGAGTACGGAGTAGTTACTATAATTGTTATTATTATTATTATTATTATTATTATTATTATTATTATTGACTATTGACTATTGACTATTGACTATCTCCACTACCGTGTCCTTGGCTCAGGATAGTAACTACAGCCCCGAGTGGGAAGGCTGCTTTTTGCTGTCAGACAAAGGTAACTATATAGTTAACTAGCTATAGGTTGGAGCTTTAACTATAACTGCAAGGTAACTAAACTATGTATGTATCTACGGAGTACTCCGCAGAGTACTACTGTACTGTACTGTACATCAACCCCATACAAGATTTGGAGTAAACCTATGATCATCTTTTTTTTTTTTTTTTTTTTTTTTTTTTTTTGCTTCTACTATCATCAGTAATAGTTACAATACAGAGCAGTGCTACTTAGTTACTGGGAGGCTGGGTGGGCGGGAAAATCAGTATCTAACCATCTCGTCCATCCCATCAAGCTATTTATTTTCTTTATTATATAAAGTTAAGTTACCTCAACAGGCGTTATCCTTCCTTTTTCCCCTTTTCATCGTCGCCTTTTTTTCGGTTGATATATGCACACACCAGCTAGCCCATTAAATATATAGCTTCATAGTTACCGACTGTCTGTGATCATCACGTTTCAACCAGGAATAACCTTGGAAGGAATAACTATCGCAAGAATACTTTTCCGGGCGAACCATCTAGAGAACACGGTTAGGTGAGGGGCTCAATATATGTAAGCAGCATACAGACAGGGCTTGTATCTACAAAATTACTCACATATATATATATATACATATATATACATATTCAACCGTTGAACTATCAATTGAGCGGTGGAGTTTCCTTTTGACATCTACAAAGAAAGCTAAATATTGAAATCCCGGGAATACTCTAATCAAAGTAAAAAGCGCAGACCGTTATTCAGTTAAAAAAAAAATAAAATAAAAAATAAAATAAACTAAAAATAAAATCAAGGTAAAAATCAAGGTGAAATCAAGGTGAAATCAACTCGAAACCCCCCTTCTCCCCGCAGCTGCTTTCCAGGTTCCTGGCGGCACGAAACAGGATAAAATTTAAGACATGTCTACAGGCCGGAAAACTTACCAGCTGGACGTCGTCGTCGTTAGAGGCCCGTCCGTGAAGCAAGGTCAGCTCAACAACCGCTTCGAACTAAAAAAAATTTTCTTCTCCTTTCTTGAATTTTAGTTATCTGAGAATGGAGAATGTCAGGTTAAGTCTTGAGAATGAAGAAGATAGTTAAATGAGTATTTCTATCTACCAAGGTGAAAAATAGACGCCCGATCCTTAACATTTCCACTAACTTTTTTCAATTGTTTATATTATATTATTTTTATATTATTTTTATTTTTATTTATATTTTATTTTTATTTTTATTTATATTATTTTATTTTATTTTTAGGTTCCAGACCTCGACCACTACCAGATCATCGCATCATTTTCCAGGTAATGACCATTACAGAGTATTATTATTATTTCCTGCCTTGAATACTGAAGCTTGAGGGAGGGAAGAGAGAGAGAGGCAAATCTACACGAGCAAGAATCCAGAATCCATGGAAACAAAAACAACCTTGGAAGGAGGTCGCCGACTATTTCTACGAATCAACTACTCTCATTGCCGATCCGGAATAGTTAAATTAAAATACAATATCAAGGATTCGACATTTTTCGGGACGCAGTTTGACCACCGGCCAGGGAAACCTAACCACTAGCAAATGACCGGCGCCAGCCAGGGCAAGATAACCTGGAAGGGTTTTCAAGGATTTTCGCTCAAGGATTTTCGCTTTGTCTTTGTTTTTTTTTTTTTTTCCTGGAAGCGCCGAAGAAAACCGCCCATAGGTTCAAACGCGGGCTCTCTATTGGAGCTTCCAGGCGCCCTCACTTTGAAAAAAGGGATGCTGAAACTCTTTAAGTTACCCCCCCCCCCCCCCCCCCGGGCCGGAGGACACGTACGTACAACTTGACTGTACTGTACTCCGTACTCCATAAACATACATTATTACTCGCAGACCATGATTCGACCGAAAAGTCGATCTGATTCTTTAAAGTTTGAGCGAGGGTGGAAAAGGCATTTTGAGGGGCATTTGTTTTTCTGAAGATGCTGAGCCGCCCTATTTTTGCATGGATCTATCTCGTTTCCGGCCTTTGGGCCAGCCAGCCAGTCGCGAAGCAAGGAACCCTGTCATGTCATGGCAATAATTGGTGCTACAAAAGGCAGAAAGAGACGAATAATAATGAAACGGGGTCAGCGCTGAACGAACCATGAGTGATTTGTTTGTTAGGACTCAGGAGGGAAAATGAAAAGGAATAATAGAGTGGACATGCAAGTAGATACAATATCTTTGAACTCATCATCATACATATTGGTTAGTTGCACCGGGCCCTCACTCTTGTCTGCATTCCGCCTGCGCTCGTGATATATATCGGTAGCAGGAGGACAATATGTCTCCGCTTGTTTGGCGTGCGATACATGCTGCCAGGGGGAGGGGGGGGGGGCGGCCCAGCAAAGGGTGTTTTGAGCTTTGAAGCATGGCCATCCGACTGCTAATGTCGGCGGGAAAACTGCTCCCGACGAATAACCTCCAGATCGTATTTTGCGTCCGCTCTGAGACTAGCACAGCATCAGTTCAGTTGGCAAAGCATAAACAGTAGTTAGTTAAGTACTCCGTAGTTAAAAGTGTGTATACCTCCTTCATTATTCATACATACTTAGTAGCGTACACACTCTGCCTAAGTTACAGAGCACATCACGCTGTGCCTCGCTATCAAAATGTTAATTTAATGCTATGCTACAGCGTACGCCTGCGACCAACACGAAGCCCCTGACCGTGAGACAGCATCTGAGAATGTAACACCCACCTCAAAACTCCGCCTAAGTTACACCCTCAAAAAGGGGAAGGAAAAAAAAAAAAAAACCTCCCATCCCGCCTCACCGGAACACTCTGTCACCTGTGACAAACAGGCAACCACTTTGGAATAATCAATGCCGCGCCAGGAAAAAAAACTTACTGCATCGAATTCTAACCATTCATCCCCTTTGAAATGAAGTAACAAAAGAGAACATTCTAAAACAGGCCAAAAGTTGGTTGTGCGCATGCGGGAATGGGGGAGGGGATGTATTGGGAGGCGCGTAGAGAACAACAAATCCTCCGTCCCCCGGCTTTACTGCCCGTCCCGTATTCTGATAGACGTAGTTAACAACACATGGATGATAATATTAGATCACAGACAGACAGAGCAAACAATCTCGCCTTGCTCATGCAATGCACATGCTCTTTATTATTATTGCAGCTACTATTACATAGTTACACAGTTGCTTAGGGCATGCGGGACATAAGCATGTCATGCCTGCTGCTCAGCTGCCAAAACCAGGAACTCGTTTGCCTCTCTTAGTTAACTATATGTTACTAGATATTTAAGCACTTAGAAACAAAGGGAGGAAATACATACAATACCTATTATTCAATATGATGTTCATGTACATGTACATGTACTTCATGATGAGGTGAAAGGATGGGTAGTAATGAGCTTGGAATGATGGAATGTGTAACAGATCCCCCCTTCGCACTAAAATAACTGCCCCTTTCATCCCGTCAACTCGGTTGATACCTAGGTACTCATTGTAGCTTCCTAATAATATTAAATAAATAATCCGGGTAGCTAGTTAACTAGCTAGCTATCAATACTGGTAGGTAGTTTTAGTAGCTATATATGAGTTCGTACATATTTCCCTGCTAACTTCCCCTCTTGTGTCCAGGTTTAACTGGTAAGATTGGTTTATCTTGAGAGTATGTTCAATGAAGTTCGGTTTATTGATTTATGATCGATTTTTTTCCACTTTTGTCGCAGCAATTTTTTGGTTCTACTAACTATCGATCTGAATCAAAGTCTTTTTTGAGGTATTTACGGGCGTTAAAATTGGATGAAAACCGGTTGCTGGTACGGGACTGACCAACAACGACTAGTTTATATTATTTTTGTCTTTTGGTTTTGAGATTTTGGTTCATTGTCCCTGGTTCCTTATCCTCATCAGATGTGTAGTTACACTTCAGAATAATAACTACTATTCAAACTGAAAATGAAAACCTTCAAAGCTGGCGCTGGTAATGTGTAGTAGATGTGCTCGTAGAGGCGTAACGTGATCAACCACCCAACGCCCGCTTACACCCAACGCCCGCCATTTTGCCATCACAATGATGAAATATTTTCATTGATATCTCAACAACACAATTAGATTTTAAGGTGATATACTATATGATGAAAATGTATATAGAAAATTACATATAAAAATATACAGCTAATTCTGTAGATGTTTATTGAGCTTAATAACTCATCTAAAACATGAAATCTTGAATGAAGACAGATTAGTAAATAAGCAGTTATTAAATCAGTAGAGATTGTAATATCATCAGATTTCTCTGACAGTGAATCTGTGAGTACTCTGACAGGGCTCTGAAAATGTGATTTAGTCACTCTTTATAAAATCAAGAGTCTACTTTTCTGATTAGAAAGATAATTTTTAAATTCTGTAATCTTTTTCTTATTCAACTGTGATTACTACTGTACAGCAGCTTATTCTTTCTTCTCTTTTTACTTTAAGTCTTTCTTATATCTCTAAGCTTCTTTTCAATCTGCTGTTGAGCAGCTCTTGCAGTCTTATTCATATCTTTTTACTGCTTTACTATCTGATAAACTGTCTCTCATTTTATTCTCTTCTTCATGATATCTGTCTTCTTTTATTTCTTAAGAATAGTATGTTACAACTTGATATTCTTCTTATAAGCCTGCTCATTCTTTTTAACAGCTTCAGAAGTAATTATTTTCTTATATATAATCTATATCTTTACTGATAAAAAGAACTGTACTAATAATAAATTTAAAGAATTTAATAATCTTATTATTCTGTTATACTTATAATATCTTCTCTCTTGATTAAGAGCTTACTATAGCTGTTTATTCTCTATTAGAAGAATCTCTTTATTAAGAGCAAAATTTTCTTTTATATAAATTACTCAGTTAAGATTACTAGATATTTAATACTATTACTACTTAACTTACTTCATTAATTTCTGTATATTAATAATAGAAGTAGAGATTCTTGATTGATATTATACATCTGAAGAGATGTAAGACTGTATTATAAGCTTTTTAAGAATCTATTTTAAATTAAATGAATATAGATTAGTAGTAGCAAATGTAAATATAATATTTAAAGATGTAACTACTTTCTTTCATACAGTATTAAATAGCTGTTAAAAAGATCTCTTTATAGTGTATATAAATTTCATTTCAGTTCTCATCTATTCATTCAGTTGATTGAAGTATGATTTACTTAATAATTCAAATATTTTAATATCTAGTAGCTGTAATCAGTGTATAGAATAAGAAGAAAAGACAGTAAATAGAATCTAATAATAATCTATATAATTAATGAATATTATATTAATATAAGAGAAGTAATTATTTAATATAAGAAGTTTATATTGACAGTATACATCATCTGTAGTATATACCAATCACGTATCGTACATGTAAAAAGATAAATCTTGTCTTATTCTTCAAGATGGAGATGGGCGGACGCCTCTATATATATATATATACATACTTGTTTGTTTATTGTGATTGACTTTTACAGAAGAAAGAAGCAGAAGTCTTAGAAAGAAAGAGACAGAAGTCTCAGAAAGAGATGAAAGCTCTGAGAAGTATCAGATAGAGAAATAAGAATAGAGTGAAAGAAGAAAGAAGTAAAAGTCTCAGAAAGAAAGAAGTAAAAGCTCTGAGAAGTAGTAAGAATGAATATCACAGTCTCTCTGTCTGAAAAGAGACAGACATCTGAAAATGAGATGACAGAAAAAAAAAAAAAAATGAAGTTGAAAGAAGATGATAGAAATCACTAAATACTGTGAGTGTTAAATCTAATAAGAAATGAGTTAGACATTTTTCAGATGCAGGTTAATATTCTTCTTATGTGAGAGATGAGTAAGAAAGAAGTTGAAATAATAACATAATAATGACACAATGATAAAGAGTCTGAAACAACAAGGTGATAGATATTATAGAGAATCTTTGTCTTTTGTGAATATTATATAAGTAAAGAAAGAGATTGAAACAATGAGACAATAATAAAACAATGACTATAAATGAGAGAAAGAGTCTGAGATAACAAGGTGATAGAAGTTATAAGAATGAATAAATAGATGAAAGATGAAGAACTGTAAAATTCAGAGTGAATGCAGATGAAAGAGAATAAGAGAATTAAGAATAATAAAGAAATAGATCTTCTGTCAGAAGACTGAGAGTGATGTGAGTGAATAATCTGTAAGTATATAATATGATCAGTCACTTCTCTCTTCTTATTTTTCTTTTCTTTTTCTTATTATCTTTTCATCATTATTCTCATTATTATGAAAAAATTTTCATTGAAATCTAGAGAACTTGCAGCAATGAGTTTAAGAAAGATATTCAGAATATCAGATGTAAGAGAAGTGATTGATCAGATTAATTATCTCAACAGAGATGATATAAGAAGAGTATTGAAAAGATTATTTCAGTTATTGAGTTAGAAAGAGTGTAATACTCTTCTTGAGACTGCAGAGAAGATAAATGAAATTGAAGAGTTAAGATCTCATTCTTCAATATCTAGAAGTAATGAGAAAAAGATGATTGTATCTTGTTATTAGTTAACTAGGTTACATAGTCAGAAAGCTGCAGATGAGTTGATAAAGAAATCTGAGAGCAGAAGCTTAAAAGGTTCAGATGTGACTGTAGAGAGATTTAAATAGAAGTTTATTACATTATTCACTGAGCTGAAGAAGTTATAATCTTCAAATACATGTGAGTTCTCTGATGAAGATACAGATGCAGAGACAGTGACTGAAGATAAGATGAAGTTAATAGCTCAGATAGAAGTGAAAGTGAAGTCAGCAGTGAAAGATATTCATGAGAAGAAAGATGAAGAGAAATCAGAGCTTACTGAAGCAGCTAAACAGTGATAAAGAGATAGTCAGAAGTAATATAGTATATTAGAAGATAATATACTGAAGAGAACAGAATGAAAGAGAGTTATTAAAGATGATCAGATATTTTAACTATAAGATGTGACTTGTATATATTATCTACATCATGATGATAAAACTGATCTATACTTTTAAAAGAATAAGAAGCCAGCCTGGCTAAGTGTATTAATAATGCAGAATTCAACTGTAGAAGAACTTATAGACACTGTCTCAATCATTGAAAGACTTGTGAAACACAGTGAGAAAATACTGTTTATAAACTGTGAATTTTTTGTTCTGCTCAGTCAGCAGTTAATCAAGCAGCTGAGATAAATATCTATACAATGAAAGTTGCAGTGACAGATAATAAATAATAACTTAATTACTCTGAGAACAGTTAATTTTAAAGATTCAGTCAATCAGAATATTATCATTCTTCAAACTTATGAAAAAGTAGTCTTTATGTCTTGTCAGTCTTGTACAGCAGGTCACAGATAATTTGAAGAGTATATAATTACTTTATCAGATGATAACTGAACTCAGCAGAGACATAGCACTTGCATTAACTGTCAGTGAGATAATAAGAGTGTCTGCTGTTCTTTAAATTATTGTAGCTGATATGAGTTTGAAAAAAACACTGACAATCTGCTGTTTGAGAAAAGTATATCAGAGTTTGAGAAGACTGTGAGTGTGAACAGAGATAACACTATTAAAGATAGTGATACAGATGAAAATAATTTAATCTTTATTTCTGCTAAGAAGACACTTACTTTCTTAAAACAGAAGGCCTTGAGTTCAGTCACTCTGAAACCTATCAAGTGCATTCAAATTAGTGAGAAAGATGCTAGTTCAACTTCTGTCAAAGTGATCAAGAATATCAAGATAAGCAGCAGATGATAATCATTAATTTTATCTTTCAGAGATCAGACTATCAACTGTATGATACAGAATCTGAAGGTGTTGAAACAGTCATCTAATCTTGATAAATATAATCTGAATATCATACAGGCTGCGTGAAAGAAGTTAGACAAGATCAGAAAATTTACTAATGTAGTCTCAGCTGTGAATAATATCATCAATAATAATTATTTCTTCAAGCTGTCTAGTGAGGCATGCTTCAGCAATCTCATGAATAGCAGTCTATTAGCAGACATTGCATTCTGAGATGCATGTCTTGCTAAACAGAAGATGAAGCTGCAACATGAGCTTGAGAATGATTGATAAAAAACTTAAGATGAATGTAATGAGTAAAAGATCTCTGATTTTACTTTTCTTTATTCTGTTTTCTTCTTTTTTCTTTCTCTTCTACAGTCAGTAGTTAAAAATAGTAATAATGAATTTTCTCTTCTTTTCTTCTTTCTCTCTTTTTTCTTGTTACTTTTACTCATGACATTCTCTTTCTTATCTGTCTCTCTTAAACTTGATGTGATCATTCACAAGGTCTCTTGACTATGAAGACTTTGACAAGATCTGAAGTATTCTTCATGATCATATCAAGAGATTCTCAGATCAGATCTTTAT